TCAAACATATGCTTCATATTTTTTTCCCATTTAACAAACAAAAAAAATCAATTTATTAATTTTTAAGAATTCTATCGCCAATATGCAACAAAACCAGCTGTTGTATACGGCACGGCTGAGCATCCAGGCCTCGGGTGGTATAATTACCCTAACCTCGTACTCATGCCAGCGAAGGGACGCCTTCTTGGGAAACAGCTGAAAACAACGGGAATTTGACGGGAAAACATTCTCGCTCTACTGTTGGTTTTCCTCTGGAAATCTAAGGTGAGACGTTACTTCTTATCAACATTATTCCTCATTTTCACCTCACCTCTTTCCTCGTGCGATTAATAGAGCGAAAAGCCTTCATACAAGCAAATAATCTTTCTTAGATTTTTTGACAATCGCCGTTTGGTCTGAGGATAATTATATTCAAAACCTTGAGCTTTCGACCGCAGTGAATCGCTTTAAAATTTTATTTCATTGAATTTACGTTCAAAATCAAAGCCTTAGGGACAAAAATAAATGCCTTGTCGAAGAACAGTTTCGACGAATTTTGTATTTCATGACGGACGGCAGAATTCAGTCAACAGTATGATTTTTTTTCGATGCGAAGGCGTTGAAATTCGCTCAGATCAGAATTCTCAAATATTTGAAATCTTCACTTTGCATAAATCCAAGATTTACGTACCAAAAATAAAAATTAATTATTAGACGTAAAAATGTCGCAAAAAAACTGAGTTGACAAGCGAGTTTTGAAAAACAAATTTGTGAAGACTTAAAAGCTTCGATTCGAACGAAAAAAAGAAATGTGAGATATGTCATTTTATTTTGTGGGGTTTCAAAGCGATTTTCTCGTAGAATTTTAGAATTTCTTCATGAATCCTTAAAATATATAGCATTTGGTCAGTTAGATTCATTGTATTTAGCTATTCACATGAACTTAAATACAACTTAAATACTGACTTGTGTAGCGCTCAACTTTGAGTTTAAATTACATTAATTTCTTTCTCTTTTTTATTCGCCTAAATTTTCACTCAGAATTCTTCATAATTCTAAAAAAGTCCTTTACGGCTTTCGCTTCATTCTGATATAACTTCGACATAATATTGAAACTATTTTCGCTCATTTTTCAAATTCTAACGACATTTTTGGTTTCCATGTTGATATTTTTTTCGCCGATCTCCAAGGTTTGAACAGAAATTTGCAAGTCAATGAGCATAGTTTTAATGTCAGTATCCATCGGAAGTAATAGGCTTTTATAGTAGGTTTTTGTATTCCTTTTTCAAATAAAATGTTGAGTCTCAATTGTTTTGAGAAGAGGAAGAGAGCAAGGAGATTATTCATTTAATATTTTTATTACGACGGCTTAAAAATGGCCTTAAAATTCGAAGGAACGAGTTCCGTGTGGTCGATAGTTAAACATATTTTGCCATTTTCTTATTTTCATTAAGTTTAGATCCGCAGTTTTTAAAAAAAAAGCGTTTTCCATTAGTGCCATATGTTTTGTAGTGAAAATCGTAACTAATCTCAATGAAACAAGAACCAAATGATCAACATTTTCAATTGAATAGACAGAAACACAAAGTATATTATACTTGTTCTTTCATTTTTAATCGTTTTTATAACGATATTTTGCGATTGTTTGAGTGTTTTAAAAATAGCTGGTTCGTTGCCCATCATACAATGGTCCTCACTGCACGTGTTCGTGTTGTTTAACGATACGTTTTTATATTTCATTGGTTTTACTTCTCAATTTAAAGATGCTTAAATTGAATTGTGTTATTTTAGTTATAGTCTTAACAGGCTATATTAGATCTCAATCGCTATCATCAAAATATGCTGCGGGCTGCAGATAGACCGCGCTGCAAATTTTCTGATGCCGTCAACGAAATTGATTTCCGCGCCGAGAGAAAACATTTCGCCGAATATTATCTTAAAATAAAACACAGAACATAGAAATCTAAAATTCAATGTCTGGCATGGCATTTTTTGTGCTTTTATGGATGTTGCAGTCCGCTCGTAGAGTGCATATAGTATACCCGTGAAAAACGTTGTAAGAAATTCCACAAATTTGCACAAATAGAGACCCTTTGCAGCTCATTTATCACGTGCTGATTAATTCACTGAGAGCAAATGAATGAACATCTTGATTCCAATGGGTGAAATATACTGGTGAGCAAACGAACTTTCTACAACCTGTTTCGAGACCTGTTTCATAAATTTCTTGAAGATTTTAATAATTCTTTGGACGGAATTGAATCCCACTTTAACAAAATTATACTTGGCGATTTCAACATTGATTATTCAAGTAAAAAGAAAAGAAATGTAAATCAGTCAGATAGACGAAAACTCAAGGGAATAGTAGACCTTCACGATCTTAAACAAATAATTGACTCTCCAACACGCATCACTGAAAATTCTGAAAGTCAAATTGATTTAATATTCACTGACAATGCTCACAAAATTGTTGATTCTGGAGTAAAGGATTTTGGTATCAGTGATCACTCAATGGTGCATTGTGTTTTCAAAAGTGGTCTTATACAGGTTCCGCCAAAAACACTTGAATACCGAAGTTTTAAGTCATACAACAAATCATCTTTCAGACAAGATCTCAATAATGYCCCATGGCACGTTGCTCTTAATAACCCTGAAGACTTAGAAGGCTGTGTTCAAACTTGGAACAAATTATTTCTAGAAGTTGCGGAAGAGCATGCGCCAACTAAAACACGTAGAGTAAGAGGATCTCGGACTCCTTGGATGACTTCTGAAATTGCAACCTTGATGAGAAATCGCAATTACCATCTCAAAAAGGCTAAAGGTAAAAAAACTAATTCTCATTGGACAAAATATCGTGCTTTAAGAAATAAGGTCCAACGTAAAATCAAAAAGTCTAAATCGGAGTATTACTGCAATCTTATTAAAGACTCTCGAAATAATTCTAGTGATCTATGGAAATCTATCAAGGAAGTCATACCTGGAAGTAATTCACACAAACACAATATAACCAGCTTAATATCAGATGGGATTACTCATACCAACCCTACATCAATGTCATCAATCTTCAACAAGTTTTTTGCAACTATCGGCTTAAAGCTTGCTGAGAAATTCTCAATGAGGAACACTTTGACAGCTAATGGCGTTAAACAAGCCTCCAGCATTTTTGAATTTCAAGCGATCAATTATGAGTCTGTTGTAAAAATGATAAATGAACTTAAACCTAACAAAGCAGTTGGTTTAGACAAAATAAGTTCTCGTTTGTTAAAGGATGCTGCTGATGTTATTGCACCAAGTCTCACATCGTTATTTAACATCTCCATAGACACTGGCTGTTTTCCGTCTACATGGAAATTGGCAAAGGTATCTCCTCTTTTTAAAAAGGGTAGTAAGCAAGATCCTTCTAATTATAGACCGATATCGGTACTGCCCACTATTAGCAAACTTTTAGAGAAA